AAATTGAAAAACAACGTTATCAGTTTTGGTGAAAAAACGGTGGTAAAATGGTCCACTACGCCTATGATTGGTTAACTTCCAACTTTTCACGGCAGCCAGAAAGAACGTACAATGCAAAAGGCAGCCAGTGTAAAAGGGCCGAGAAAACAGAAAGGAAAGGGGCAACAAACAAAATTGAGAACGGTTAATGGCAGAAAAAAATGCATTCATGCAAAGTAAAATAAAAACCTGTGAGACAGGTTTTTCGCAAACTAAGAAAATGTAAAATCAAAAATAGCTGAAAATCTGTCTCACAGATTTTTATTTTACTTTGCATGAATGTTAAATCTCTCCTCAGGTACTCGGTCGTTCATTTTGGCCATTTGTTGACGTTTAATTGTTCAAGTTTCACATAGAATGGTGAAAGACTTAAGTAAACAGTAAATAGAGAAAGGGAAAACATCCTGGAACATTTTTCAAAAGAGTTAGAAGTTGGGCTGTTATAATCCATCAAAACTGTAGTAAACTACCTTAAGTTATGATAGTTACAGTATTTTGGGGAATCATAACATATCTTAACGTAAATTATTGGCTATTATATTAATTTGGCAGTGAGGGGGACTGGAAATAGCAATTTGCATACCATCTGCAAGAGGAATCCATGTTTTGGTGTCACCCGCTTTTGTCGATCTCTAGCTCAGCTTCAGTCTTGATTTTACAAGACGTAACAAAGGTGTAAATTTGTTAGCTCTTCCTCAAGTTTAGCTTGCCATATGAAGTGCACATTTTGAATGGGGGTTCGGTCTTAGGCCAAGTGCAGTGATATTCGTTAAAGTGTATTCATCGGTTATCGGTTAACAAAGATTATTGACATTGGTCTAGAATTTGTCGTCTAGATTTTTCATCAAGACTTTGTCGCTATGAGCGTTGCTCATGAATGGCACAACAGCATGAAGGCATTTTCTATAAATCAGCCGTTGATTGAGAGTTGATATCTCTGCTCTTGGAACATGGTTTCCCAGTATTTGCGGTGTAGGGCATTAAATGGCAAGGAACAGAATACTGAAAATAAAGAAAACAGCACAGGTATAAGTCGTATACGTAGACGGTATGTGGAGTAACCAATCAGACCGCAGTATTTTTGAATGGACCAATCAGAAAGCCGGATATCGCCGACGTGACCAAAATGGGCATTTTGGACATACTCCGTGACGTCACGACCCGAGAATGGTCTGACGTCATCAAAAGCCCTAGGTCGCAATGGAGTACCTGGGAAAGGTCATTGAGGCGCATTCTGGAGAAATCGGGAAAAAGGAAGAGACGGAGAAGCATTTTTTCAATGAAACTCAATTTAATTTTATGATAATAGAAGTTTACAAAGGGGACATGTGTCACTCCCTGATGGAAGACGCCCCGAAAACTTTTTAAAACACAACATGACAAATTTTTTTGTACCCCTGCTGGCCCTGTCCTACCCGAAGGTGATCCGTCCGAAGACGCGCCGGCCAGCAGGGGAAAACTACGTACATATTTACAAATTTAATAAATTGTCGACGTTGTGCATGTTCACGTCATCCAGATTGACTTTGGCTTATCCGTACGGATAGGACTCGAACGAATTGGGATCCGCCACCCGCTTGCCAAATATGATAAAGAAAAGGGAAGAAATATTGAACAGCAGGCTGTGGTTAACCGAAGCATAGTGCTTGTAGTGTTGGGTTCTCAAATCTGTCATAGAAAACCAAAATAGCCGGTTCAGTCGGCGACCTTAGACTCGTGAGTCCTCGAAATAATTGCGGGCAAACCAGTGGTGAAAGAACCGAGATCTGTACAGGTCCGCAAATGCTTATAAATAAATACACTTTGCTTCATGACGTACTGAACTCGATCTTAGATGCAATTCTGCTGACTAAATACCGGTACATAGGTACATCAAGACAGTACGTATCCAGCAGTTTACAATTTTCTTCATTGTTTGCTCCATTTTCTAAGACCGAGATCATCAAACCCTAGGCTTTCATCTGAAGCGATTTTCAGTGTTCCTCTGATTGATGAGTTTCGTTTTCTCATCACTTGTTTGTTCAATGATTTCAACTTTTCTATGGAGTTAAAGT